GATGTCTTTCTTTTTTATATGCATAATTTACAGGACAAACTGCGCATTTCACCCACAATTGTTTGGTGTGATATGATTCCAAATTTAGGGGGGGCCAAAGGGGGGCCAAGTTTGTTGGCAGGGGGGCACTGGCCCCCCAGAACCGCCCCTGTATGCAGAGTTTCTATTTAGGCGTGTTTGCAGCGTTGAGCAATGCAGTGCTGAAATTTGCATGCTCATGAATCCTCTCATTATAACACACAAATTGTAGACATTATGAAAGGTTCATTATGCATATATTTATTGTGTTATAACAGAGATTTGGGAGATTGCGATGAACTGAGACGTCTTTTAGAGATTATAAATGCAGCACTCTTTGCTGGCATTCTGCCGTGTCAAACCATGCACGCATCCGCTTGCTTTAGTTACAAATAACAGTGTTCTGTGAATGTTGATGCTTTAATAAATATTTATCGGGAGCGTGTATGCTGGGATTTCATAAATTTCATGGAGAAAAAAGTAACGTAACAAGTAATGTAACTAATTACTAATTACTTTTGAAATAAAGTAATCAGAACAGTAACGTGATTACTTTTAAAAGGAGTAATCAGTAATTTGATTACATTTTCAGAGTAACTTGCCCAACACTGGCCAGAAGACATGGTGTCATTAACAGTTTATAAGCCAGTTTCCCAGTCACACTTTCACCCTTGTCCTGTGCCCAGGAAACCCATTATTATGACCCATTATGTTTATATTGCTTTATCTTTTCACTTAAAGTCACTTCACAGGACTAAGAGTGCCATTAGGTAGGTATAAATAATGCTCAGTTTAGAGCAGCCAGCAACAAAGAGGCCCGACCACTAGAAAGCCCTTCCAAACAGATGAAAATGTCCAAATGGAGATGATAAAACTGTGTGCACAGGGGGGAAAGCATTAGTCATGCTTGTACACAGAAATCGGGAAATAAATAGTGTTCTTATCAAGGTCATCAGACGCACTTTACGGGATATTTAGAGGAGAGGGTTTGTGCGTATGTGGGGTTGTAGACGGAGGGCATCTGTTGTAGCCATCAGTAATAAAAGTCTGATTTACTGATTCTCTCTCTCAGTCATGCTCTCAGAGAGGGGTCACAGCGCTTCATAAAATAACATTTGGTTTTCTTAACCTCTCTGATACACATGATAAAGAAACCTGTGGAAGCAAAATCCTAGGGAAACAGACACACATATGTTAATAAAAGGATGTAGATGTGTATATCCTCTGGGAAAGATAATTCCTGGACTAATGCATTTCAACATGACCGAGACGGTACAATCCGCTTTACACATGTACTTGAGTCTACTGTTTCTGGACACAGATGAATGTTATTGTGTACCTGTCATATAGTAGCAGTCTCCAGACTGGAGAGGCAAAGCCAGACCTGGTGTGTGGATGTCCCAGGCCACCTTCAGTCCAACACGCCAACAAGCCTTCTCTTTCTGCACTTCCTCCTTTTCCAATCCTTCTCTTTCTTTCTTTAGTTCTTCTTTACTTGTTCCTTCACCTTCTGTCTCGGTTTCTTTTTCTTTGTTTTTGTCTTTACTCTGTTCCTCCCCATCCTTTTCAGTCACCCCTGTAAGCAAAGATGTTGTTTGAAATTTAGAGCAAAAAAATGTATCTAAATGATATACATAATCACATAATTATTTATTTGTTATACTCAATGACCGTTGAATGGTCGATATTACATTTATATGGTAACACTTTAGTTTAATGTGTCCTTATAGCAAGCTACAGTACATGTATTTACTATAGTAATAACAGTAAATCATACACAATTACAAGTAACTAACACTAAATCAAAACCTGACCCTAAACTTATTATACAGTGGTGTGAAAAAGTGTTGGCCCCCTTCCTGATTTCTTATTTTTTTTGCATGTTTGTCACACTTTAATGTTTCAGATCATCAAACAAATGTAAATATTAGTCAAAGATAACACAAGTAAACACAACATGCAGTTTTTAAATGAAGGTTTTTATTATTAAGGGAAAACAAAATCCAAACGCCCCAGCATGCTCTATAAACCCATCACAGATGTGTTAAAAGATACGGGAATCATGAAAAGCTTCAGTGAGGTATTCTTCTTCAAAGCGTGTTCAGGTGAAACACAAATCTATACAACACACAGATGTTATCCGAAGGGACAATAAAAAAATCTAATTCATGCACACACACACAGAGCAACAAATAAATGATGTACAAAGTGAAATTCTTCTGAGCAACAATCCGTTTCAGCTGGTCTGCACCATTTCATAGCGATTTCTCTAAAGTGAAGGCAACATTTTGTGCAATGCTCTGCACGGGTGCGTACGCACTGCAAAAGCGTTCCATCAGGGGAGTCTCTCTGAAGTCTGGAACCGAAGGGTCAATTTTACCTCCAAAAGAACAGCTGTGGAATAATTCCACACAAACTGACACATTCACACAAAAAACACACACAGACCATTCATGCGTTGTTTGAAGCGGGCCCTGGGGAGGTCAAAGGTCAAATCGGTCAGTAAGAGACTGGCGAAACCGAGCTTGTGAGGCAGGTGGTTCTGGTTAGCACACCACGCTCTGTTCTGTCGAACTGACACACACACAAGAAAAATAATATAGTTTTGGTTGCCACTGACATTCAATGTATGGACAAAAACTGCTCTTCAAAACATCTATTTTTGTGTTCCACAGAATAAAGAAAGTCATACAGGTTTGGAATGATGTTAGGGTGAGTAAATGATGACAGAATTTGTATTTTTCAGTTAATTATCAGTTACAATTCTAAAATGTAATTCTATAATGTTTTATACAGTATATGCTTTTAAATAAGCAATAATTATTTATTAGCAATTGAAATTCTGATTATTACATTTTTGTCCAAAAATAAAAAAGCAATGCAGTTGAATAATTTGCTTTTCAACTCTTTATGGAAGGTATGTTTGAAGTGGGATATTTTCTTTTCATACAAATAAGTACATTCAATAAACAATGCATGCAACAAATAAATAAATACATTTAATTGTTATGAGATAATAATTTTCCTGTTTCCTGTTCTCTGGAGTCCACCAGTGGACCTTGGCAAACATCCAGAGAGGTCCCAATAAGTCTTAAAATTACATAAATGTAGGTATAATAATTATAATCTTAAATAAAAATGCTAAAAACCCACTAAAATAAAGATGTACAGTAAATAGTAAACTGCCATCATATTTTTAAGTTTATTTGTTTTCTTACAACAGAATTACTAGAGGTACATATCAGCTTAGACAGGAGGGCTTTGAATATTGTCTTGGACAAAGTGAGGCCTTGGAGTCTAAAAGGCTCAGAAACACAGTGTTAGAGCCCTGTGGGGTCATGGATCTGATACAATATTATACGCTCTACCCAAGACATTAGACCTCTCACCTTCATTCTTTGGCTCTGCTGGGCAGCTATAGCTGTAGACAGCAACTGGTGACAGAGGAACCAGGTTCTCGTCATGATGCCAACCCACCGCCATCTTGCCCATTCCATAATAGGGCTCTTCCTTCAGCTGGGTCATGGCTGTGGGGTCCATGTAGTTGATGAGGGTCATGTTAAACTGAACTAGGCCGGCCACATCAGGTGGCGGAGTGGATGAAGGAGGTGAGGAATGAGAGCAGCCCTGACCGCTGTCTTCTTCCTCTTCCTCCTTCTTCTCTTTCTCCTGCTTCTCCTCAAGTAACCGGTCCTTCACACTCTCTTCGCACATCCCCTCCCCTGGTGTCTCTTCACTGTTTTCGGTGTCACTGCGGGAACGCTTGACGCCTCTTGCATTTGTCTGCTGCTTCACATCTGAGCAAAAGAACTGATTGAGCTCCCACAATGCTTTGCAAGCGTCCCTCAGGTCGGAGTCACAGCAAGGTTTCTCTTTCTCATCTTTCTGGCCTTCTTCTCCCTCACAGTGCCAAGGGATGGTGAACAGACGGGTGTTCAGATAACGGTATGTGTAGCCCGGCTGACCCACGAGAGCACGCGAAACGGCTGTGAAGACGTCCCGGTCTCGGACTCGGACAAGATCTCGGAGGAGACATCCACACCGCTGAAGAGTTATCAAAGCAGACTGCACTCTCTCATGGAGACCATCTGGCAAGGCACTAGACTGTCGTAAAGCCAGTCCTGCATAACTGGAGTCCCACTGTCAGATTACACAAAGATTGCGCACAGATTACACATTGTCCCAAGCAAACATAACAAAGAAATTAGTAAAAACAAAACAAAAAACAGTATGTGAGCAGTCTTGGCCAGAAAGTATGGGGACTCCTGTAAAGATCTCAATCAATTACTTTGTTCCATTCATTTGGCACTACTGGATAATGTCAATAATAATAATAATGTTAAACTTCAGATTAACTTGCTAATGAATCATTTAGTGTGTGAAACTTGTTTAAAACAGCCATAGGTTTCTGTAGTTCTGCTAGTGGCAACAAAGTAATTTACCTTTCAGATTTTTCCAAGCCTGGAAAACACCAATTATGATTTGCGGTTTTCTATGACTGTGGAAACCCATGGAAATCTTTACATTATACACAACTGTCCAAAATTTGGGGTCAGAAATATTGTATGTTTTGAAATAAGTATCTTAAGCTCTTGCAGCACCAATGCTGCATTTATTTGACATTGATTGTAAAATATGATATTTAGAAATATTTAAATTTTAAATAAAAATATTCTATTTTATTACTTTGAAATGTAACTTAATCCTGTGACAACAAAGCTAAATTTACAACATCATGCGTCACATGATCCTTCAGAGATCAATCTAATATTCTGATTTGATGCCCAATAAACATTTCTTATTATGTTGAAAACAGTTGTGCTGCCTAATATTTTTGTGGAAACCAAAA